CGGAAGTGGCAGGCTGTGGCCCTAGGTGCCGGAGCCAGTGGGCTGCAGGGGTGTGGGTCTGTGACGGTCCTGGTGAGAATCAGCCCCCAGGACCAGGCAGCCCCAGCTGAGTGGAGACAGTGGCGTGGTGTGCAGAAAGTCCAAAGGGAGTTCTATGGACCTGCCCGGTATAGCTGTCTTCAGACACTGGGCAGCGACAGGTGGGTGGCAGGTAGGGAGGCTGTGTCCTGAGGTGCTGGGGAGACAGAGCCAGCTATGGCTGACGGGAAGAAGGGGGTGGTGGCATAACCCATGGTGCCCGCTTCCCAGCAGGCCCTGCACTGGGTCCCCCTTGTTGGCAGAGAGCGCTCCACAAGAGACTGAGGGCTCTGAGTTGGGGAGCCCTGGTCACCTGCCTGAGCATGAGGGGGTGAGACAGGAGTGGTAGGCTGGCAGCTCCCCAGCTTCAGGGAGTGAGGATGCCATCCTTCCCAAACACCCTGCTTCTGGAGACAGCACAGTGCCCCAGACCCCTTCCGTACCCACCCCCGCACCCCCACCCCCACCCCCATGAGTGGAGCCAGGTCAGCTCAGACTCTGGCGCGGCTACGGCTCCCACCTGCCTGCATGCAGGGCTGGCCAGGGAGCCCCTGGGGTGGCTGGCTTCTGTGCACCCTGGCCACCCCACCTGTGGACATTAGGCCCCCAACAGGGAACAGCATGTACGGGGACACAGCCAAGGAGCTGGCCAGCACCACCCTCCCTGCTGGGGGAGCCCAGGGAAGAGAGCTTCTCTCCAGGCCAGCTTTATGCTGACAAAGGCTTTTCTGACCCAACCAGCTCCCTGCTGCAGCCAGCGGGCCTCCCCTTGGCAGGGCCTGGGGGCCTGAGCTCCGATGCCTGTCCCCTAGAGACTTCTTCCTGAGCCAGGAAACCCCGGGGGCTGAAACGTGCCCAGGGTGGCAGCCCCACCTCAAACCTATAGGCAGGCCCTGGGGTGGGAAGGAGGCCTCCCCAGGAGAGCTGGCTCCGGCCAGGCCGCAGGGTCTGTTATGTCTGGCTCCCAGGCCACCTCTCTGGGGTTTTCCGTGCGGGTGGACCGGCCCCATTCATTTCCCTGTGGTTTCCTGGGCAGGTCCAAAGCCTTCAGCAGGTTGCAGCAAGCCCAGGAAGAGAGGGGTCAGCAAGAGGCCCGAGCAGTGGGGTTACTGGCCCCGTCAGCCGCTGTCCCCTCCTATGCCAGCCTTCAAGCTGGTGCTTAGCCTATTGTAGGGTGTGGGCACCCTGTCGACTGGCCCCTCCTTTGCCCCAGCAGCTCCTACCCCACCCTGGCCACACAACTGCCCAGCCCTGGCTCCTACGCCCGAGGCAAGCTCTCTGCAGGCAGATGCCGCAGGCTCCCAGCACACGGCCCTGCCCCTCACGCTGTAACAAGCCCTGGTGATAACAGAGGTTAAGCACAGGACTGCTAACCAAGAGGTCCCTTCAACTCCTCCAGCAGCTCCGTGGAGGAAAGGAGGCTCTCTGCTTCCAGGAAGATGACAGCTCTGGAAACCGTGTAGCACCGCTCCTCTCTGCACTGGAAGGTCCCTAGGAGTGCGGGTTGGCTGAGGCTGAGTTCCGTTTGTACCCGCTGTTAGAGAAGCCGTGCTGGCGAGTGGTGATGCATCCGGCTGCAGTTAGCAAGGCCATCAGTTGTAACCCACGATGCCCCTCCTCGGAGAAGGATGAGGGGCTGCTGCTTGCATCAAGATGGACAGCCTCCGAAACCCCCGGGGGCACTTCCACCCTGACCACGCGGTCCAGTTGAGTCAGAATCGACTCTACAGCAGTGAGTTTTATTTCTGGGCCCCACGGAGAAGATCCTCACTCTAAAGCAGAGAGCCCACGTGTCCAAGCCCTCAGCAGGGATGGGCCTGGTGAGGACAGGCCAGCCTTCAGAAGAAATGAGTTGGAAGCTGGCTGGGAGCCCCCTTGGCTGCGCAAGCCCGTGGCAGCCTGTGCCCTCACCACCCAGTCGCCTGCCCGCTGGCCCCTCTCCCAGCCCCAACTGCTCCCCGCCCACCACCACCGATTTCTCCTCCCTTCCAGTCTGTCTTCCCCTCACTCAGCCCCTTCCCCAGATACTCAGGTCAAGTCCAAACCTGGAGTTGGGCACCCCCAGGCCCCCTCCCCATACGCCACCTGCCCTCCCGAAGCACAGAGGGTCAGGCACAAGGAAATGACTGAGGTGGGAGTCAGGAGTCCCAATGGCACTATGGCTTATGTGTTGGACTGCTAGCCACAAGGTTGGTGTTTCAAGTCCACCAACCGTTCCGAAGGAGAAAGAGGAGGCTCTCTGTTCCCATAAAGATTTGCAACCTTGGAAACCGTACACAGGGTGACTGTGAGTCAGAATCCACTTGGTGATGGTGACCTTTGGTTTGGGGCATCTTAGGTCTGGGAAGGAGAAGGCACAGGTGCTCAGGCACATCTCCAAAGGTCAGTAGATGTCACTCAGGAGACAGATTGTCTCTAGTGTGGACAGTGGTCGGCCACAGAAGAGCTTCAGAGAGACAGGGGTTGGCCAGGCTCACCTCTGAGGGAGAACTCCCAAATTCCCTGGTGGTGGGAGGGGGGTGGCGTGGGAGAAGTGGGAGGCTCATTGCGAAAGGCCACGAGTGGAAGCCTGGGGCTGAAGAAGCCTCTAGAAACTGGGCCTGGGTATTCAGCCTGGGGCCAGTCATGTGTGCACCATGGTTCACCAGTGTCCATCTCAGGCCAGGCACCACACTGCGGCTCAGAGAAGTCTGTCTGAATCACACAGTGAGTGTGTTCAGGCCTCGCAGGATGGTTCCAGCCAGTGCACTGGAGGGAGGGCAGGGTCCAAATAAGCAGGAACCACCCCTCAGAGCCACCTCCACCCACCCCACCAGCCCTCAAACCCCTGCCCAGGCCCGCTTCCTGGCTGGAAAGGAGTGTGCCTCACGCTCTGGGGGCAGGGCCTGGTGTGGCCTTTTGCAAAAGGGATGGATGACTGGGTCTGTCTCTCGGACCCCTGCTGAAGGGTAGCAGCCCCTCCCGGACTGTGGCCCTTGGGATGGTGGCCACACAGGCGCCATCGTCAAACCCCAAGCATGCTCTGGTAATACCGCCATGATGTCAGCATCTCAAGGGCAAAAGAAAGACCTAGAAACAAAATACTGCCCCTCCCCCAGCATTGTACAGACATTCCTGTTGTCTGTCTTTCCGTGACGCCTGTAAACCTGCTGAGAGAGCCTGGTGGTCGGGGCTGCTCACTGTTAGGCGGGCAGTTCAAATCCACCAGCCACTCCTTGGGCCAAAGGTGAGACTGCCCACTCTCCTAGAGTGACAGTCTTTTCTCTGCCCTAGCCGGGACAGACTCAAAGGCAGGGGTGGGTTTGGTTCGGTTGCTCACACATTTGGGAAAACGTTATCAAGGACCCCATCTGCAGACATGGGGGAGGTGGGAGAGGATACGCGCATGAATGTGTCAGGGCCATTGCCTGCAGTTCTGCCTGGTGGGCGAGAGACTCAGGTTCCCTCAGCCAGCCTCAGCCCTCCCTGGAACAAGACCCCACCCCTGCCCCTCCCCGGATCGAAGGGGCAAGGATGTGCTGTGGGTGGCCTGCAGCTGGCTGGGCCGTTGGCTGTCAGCAGAGCCTGCCCAGACCTCCAGAGCCGGGGCCCTAATGTCCAGTGCTGGGCCTGCTCCAAGGCCTGAGCCCGAGGGTGTGACTTGCTGTTCTGGGAGGTGATTCTAGCTGGCAGCCAGCCCTGAGCCCCTGAGAGCAGCCTACTGGGCATGGGCCCAGGCAACGGGGGACGTGGGTCTGACAAGGACACATGCTGAGCAGAAGGGCCTGTTGGGGACTCAGGTCTTCTCCCTGCCCAAGATTCCTAGGTTCTAAGCATACCTGCTCTGTCCCAGGTCCTTCAGGGACAGGTGCAGGACTTGTGGCAGGAGACTTCCTCTCTTCGGTCGTAACTTGGCCAGCTTCCTGGGCTGACTCTATCAGATCTGGGGGCTGCCTTGGAGGGAGTCAGGAAGGGGCGTCCGTGCCTCCACTTCCAAGGTGACACGCAGCTCTGTGCTGGCTCCAGGGATGATTGGGGTGGGCGGCGTGGCTGACAAGTAGCTGGGGAAGTGTCTTGACCCCTGGGCGCCCGCCTTACAGCTCGTTCATCCTCAGATGCAGAGAGCAACGGGGAACAGGAGCCGAGCCCCTCCTCTAGTTCCTTTCACCTGCCCTGGGGGGCAACGGTGGGACTGGCGGGACCGCCCCACCCGGGACTTTGCTGCCTGGGCCTAGGCTCCGGACAGCGCTGCCGCGGGGCCATGCCGCCACCTGCTGGCGGTGCTGGCGAATTGCAGTTCCCGGTGCCCAAGGTTACAGGTGCTGCCTCTTGCGCAGTGTTTACTGAGCGAATCAATGGGTCGATGGGATGGATGAGCGAATGAACATGAACGAAAGCCGGAGAGAGCATCTGCTCGGGAAGCATTCAGGCTCCCATGGCCCTCGGGAGACCCAGAGAGCAGGCGCTTGATGGAATCGGACAGTGCCAGGTTGACGAGAGGTGACTGGCCAGGCAGGACACAGGAGGCCGTGGGAGGGGGACAGGCAGCAGGGCTATGGAGCCCCAGGCCCATAGGGAGACCACCAGCTGACACAGGTGGGGGAGAGGACACACTCCAGTGTGGCAGTCTGTGAAGCAGGTGGTTTGCTGAGTTCAGAGCAGTGAGAACCGGACACGCCCATGACCTGTCCAGGCGGTCACCTCCTGAGAGCAGGTGGTCAGGCTAGTGTCTGAGCTAAAGGATTTTCCACAGGAAGTGCTGTGTTCAGGGACAGATTAGGGATAAGAGGCTGCACCCCAGTGGGAACGGGGTATCTCCAGGGTCCATGTGCCGGCTTTCCCGTGTGGTACAAAAGCCAACCTGACATGGCAGCCCCACCCACTGGGTGACATCGCCCCCTGAGCCCCTGGCCACCCCTGAACTCCCTGCCACCCCTCTGCAGGCTTGTGGAGGAGCTCATGGTCCTGGCCAACACAGCGGTAGCCCACAAGATCCACCGCACCTTCCCAGAGCACGCCCTGCTGCGCAGGCACCCGCCACCCCAGACGAAGATGCTCAATGACCTGATGGAATTCTGTGACCAGATGGGGCTGCCCGTGGACTTCAGCTCCGCAGGGGCCCTCCACGTGAGTGCCGGGTAGAGGCGGGGCACAGCCAGGCCTTTGATCCGCTCCCTCCACTGGAGGCTTAGCGGTGTCCAGGAATAGGCCAGGACTGCCGTATGGGGCGGGGGCAGTTTGATGCCAAGGAGTGTTTGTTCTGGTCAATTGTTCTGGAACCTGGAGTGTCGGCACTGAGTCCTGCGGAGGGCCCATGCTCTCCCCAGGTGGGCTAGGCCACAGCACACCAGTGCTCCCAGATGCCAGGTGGTCCCAGGGCCTTACTGAGCCGGAGTTTCTTGGGTTTGCCTCCAGAAAAGTCTGACCCAAACATTGGGAGATGACAAGTATTCGCTGGCTCGGAAGGAGGTCCTCAGCAACATGTGTTCTCGGCCAATGCAGGTAAGGAGGCTTCCCTGCACGGGGGGGGCGAGGTCCACGGGCACACTGCCCCATCGTGTCCCGGTGCTCATCAGGTCCCACTGCCCACCTCTGGGTTGTCTCCTTCCAGGCCGGGCGGAGACCAAAACTGGGCCCCTCTCCTCCTTGAACTCCCAGGCACCTGATTTGCATGGTCCCACCCACAAGGGTGCTGGGCACCGGTTTTGTATTGGCAGCACACTGTCTAATCTTGGTGGGCCAGGGCACCCTGCATGGTGGGAGTTACAGGCCCAGGGCTAGAAGGGCATGTCGCAGTGCCCTCCCTCCCCCCCAAGTCAGAGGATAACTCCCCCTGACAGTCAGTCCTTCAGTGGAGCAGAGTCCTCAGAGTGCGGTCACTCAGGGACAGCCACTCAGGTCTCCAGGCCCTCAGAAGTGGTCTGGGCTCACCCTTTCAGGTGTTTGATAAGGTTGACCTGGGAACGTTCTCGTGCTACTGAGCCTCATGAGGTACCAGCATGGCAGACCCTTAAGAGCCATTTGGTTTGGCCTCTGTCCTCAGTCCAGCAGTGCCCCTCTCCCCCTTAGGTCACTCATCACCATAATGGTTTGTACAGCTAGCTTTTACACTCACCACTGCTAACTGCCAACACCCCTGAATCAAGTGATCCTGGCAGCATCTCTCCCCTGCCCATCCCAGAGTCCATCGGGATAAGAGGAATCTATTCAGTCTGGATACTCCTTGGTCCCCCTCATGTGGAGTATAAGCACACATCCCCCAAGACCCCACCCGTTTCTGACAGCCAGTTTCACACTTCCCATCCTGGGAAACACAGCAGGTGCAGTGGTTCCACCCTGAGCTGCTAGCCACACCATCAACCCTGTGAAGCCCCAGGAGAAAGAAGGCTTTCTACACTCATAGAGTTACAGTGTCAGAAACCCACCTGTCCTAGGTGGTCTCTATGAGTCTGAATCGGCTCAATGGCAGTGAGTGTAGATGTGTAGACCTTGATCTAAGGGATCTTCTGTTCTGGTTGGAACTTGGAGTGTCTGTATTCATAAGCACAATCCAGTCAAGAGCAAGCCAACCAACTGCAGCACTTTACAGCAGCTCTCTGCACCAAGCCCTCCCCCCGCCCCCCCCGCCCCAGTTCTAGTCAGGTCATTCCCAGCTCCTATGGGCTAGATCAGTGGGTACCAGCCTTAGGCTCAGAACTTCACACACTTCCCTGAACCATCAGACCAGCCAGCCCCTGTGCGCGCAAGCTCTCTCGCTCTCTCTCGCTTTCGCTCTCTCTCACATCTCTAATGTCCGTGGCCTCTGGCAATTATTGCACCTCCCTGATGCCCATTCATTTGCGCATATCCAAGTAGACACCACCAAGCCATCTTTTCACCAGCTCCATTTAACATCCAGACCTGGAAAGGGTGTATGGGGGTACTTCTGATGGGCACAGACTCTTCCTGCCTGTGGTACCCAAGGGCAAACCTCTTACTTCAAATTCAAAAAGTAAAACAGAATTATTTGATGATGATGATGATGATTCTCCTGCAGATCCTCCCCGCAAATGCAAGTCTCCTGCTCTGAGCAGCTCTGTGCATCTTGGCAAACACAGATTTCTTGACTCTTGAGGTTCCAGGTGGAGCTCATCTTGTGCCCCTAAGCCCCCAGTACACCTACACCCAGCTCCTGCGGTCCAGGAGCAGCGTGTGTTCCTCACAGACAAAGCCTAGTTCCCTTTGCTAGCATATCCAATCAAAGATAGTTGAAGGTAGACTTGCACACCCTCTATTATCGATAATACCCAATATTCCTTTCTATCATGCATCGTTTTTACAACTCTAGGTATGAGAATCATTCAATGTCCATTACAATCCACTGCCATCAAGTTGATTCCAAATCATAAGCACCCTCTCTAGGGTTTCCGAGTCCGTGAATATTTATGGGAATGGACAGCCTACTCGTTCTCCTGAGGAGAGGCTGGTGGGTTCAGGCTGCCAACCTAGCAGGAATCAGCCTAACACATAATCCCTGTGCTGCCAGGGCCCCTCTCAGCACCCACAGACGTCCACGCAAACACATGCCCTGTGTAGGCTGTTCTCCTTTTGTCTTCTCTTCCTCACACTTTGACCCTCTTCCATTCACATGCCCAGGATCTCGAGCCTCTGACTGGCTGAAGCCAGAAGGCGCTGCCCCCACCAGTCATGCTGCTTATCTGGCCTGGCTTTTGCCCCAAACCATTCCAGGAGCAGCTGTCCTGTCTCCCCACCCCCTTCTGCATCTTTCTTACTTTTCTTCCCACCATTCCAAACAGCCACAGGGACCGTCCGGGAATCACAAGCTTCGCTCCCCAGCCACAGTCAGCCCGACAAAGTGCCATCCTCCCTGCAGCCAGTCTCACGCCGACACCAGTTGTAACGTGGTGTGGCAGAGGCGGCTGCCTTCCTTCCTCTGGCTTCACAAGGCACCAGCCCGAGGCTGACTTCCCTTACGCAGAGGCCAGGCACGCCTCCGCTCCCCAACCTGTTGACCACTCCTGTCACCCACCACCCTCCTGCGGCACTCCAACTCGCTGCCGGGTCCATTCGCTCATTGCGTGGGCCACACGAAGGGCACAGACAATGATCACATTGGGGGTCTACTCGGAAAGTCATAGGTCGCAATCAGCTTCTAGAAACTACTCAGGACGCAGTTATGTGACCGGAACACAGACTGGCCTCTCCCTGCCCTGCCCTCGGCCTCGTGAGCTGGCCTGACTTATACGTATCCAGGGGGAGCCAACTCCACCCGTCAGCCTCCTGCCTAAAGGCATGTGGCTCTCTTGCATCATGGGCTGGGAAGCCCCCTGTGCCATCTCCTGCCAGTCCCCTGGTTCTGCCACCTCAGTGCAGCTGTTTCTCTCTGGCAGCTGCTCACGGCCTCTCGCCATCTCCAGCATTACAGCCCTCTAGCTCTTGAGTCTAGGAGGTTCCCAGCTCCAGGACCCCAGGTTCCTATTCCCCATCTCTCTGTCTTGTTGGTACTAGTCCCTACTGTCCACTTCCGGAATGTCTCATTTCCAGCCTAGCAGGATGGCAAAAACTGACCGGCCTCCTTATTTGGGTTCCATATACCTTATTTGCATATCCCCACCCCACAAAGTACCATGCACCTTACCCACATGGGCAGCAAGCTGTCCAGTCCCTTGATGGTCTCTGAGCACCTAATTTGCATAGTCCCACCCAGTAATTTGGCTGACATTACAAGACGTGACTAGAAAGGCCGTCTAGAAGCAGGCCCTCACAGCATACCTGCTCTGCTGGCCCCGAGTCAGTCACAGTGTAAGTGTCAGCTAGGCGATGAGAAATACAACTTTCCTCTAGTTCCTGAATGTTTCCTCCCGCTCCCACTACCATGACTCGAATCTGACCTTGCAAGTCTGGCTAGACCAGAGGATGTACACTGGTACAGATAGGAACTGAGAAT